GTACGTGTCCTGCAGCCATCAACATCAACTGATAATTAACACGTCAATAAAATCAAAGAATTAGTAGTTGAGAATAAAGGATTAACAGCATAGATCTTATTGGCATCTTTGGAATATCGCAAGAATCATCAAAAATCATTTCGAAATACCATTAGGGCCTAAGGAAAGTAAAAGCACGATTGTTTCCAAAATCACTAAATTTTTTCGAAATCCAGCGTAAAACAATGCTATAAGGTGACATGAAATGTATTAGTATTGCGAAGAGTTTTGGATCTATTCTTTAGAAGCTGGAAAACCACCTCAAAGATGGTAAAAAATCAAGGTAATCTTGACAGTTTTCTGTCGAAGCGTGCTGCTCTCCGAATTGTTTCCGACCAGCCGAACTGTCAGCAAGGAATAATATTTAAGTGTCAAGACTCGTTTGCATGAAACTATTCGTAAAAGAGGCCTTAATTATGGGCCGACTTAGGTTTTGCACAACTGATTGATTTTTCGCGAGTTTTTCACCTTGTGAACTTTAACTTGCAATTGATATTCTAACGGGTCTTGCAATACGGACAGCGCCATATTTTTTCCCGCCCTTTTGACATGTCCCTACAGTAAGGTTTGTCATTTCATCATGGAAAGATATACGATCCAACAACAGGTTGAAATTATTAAAATTTATTACCGAAATTCGGAGTCAGTGGTCTCAACCTTTGGAGTGGTCCAGATTAAAAGTTGAACGTCTAGTGGAAACATTTTAATCCACAGGCACAGTACAAAATGTTTCCGTGCCAGTGTTACAAAGAAGTAGTGTCGAGAATATTGACCCACTCAGTCTCTCACAAGTCGTTCTCAAACGTTGAGACGTCGTTGGGGAGAATTTTGCGAAAAGATCTTGGCCTACATCATWACAAGATCACATTGAACTGAAGTCGCTTGACCCCCAGAATTCTCGCTTGTTCCTGAATTGGCCAGAGCACCAAGCAAGGCAGCAATCCACACTGACTCCATCAGCCCCTATTGCATCCCGAAAAATTATAGGTTTGGTGCGGTTTATGGGCTGGTGGCATCATTGGGCCGTACTTCTTCCGTGATGATCAAGACCGGCACGTTACTGTGAATGGGAGTCGCTATCACTTGGACAATATGTGGTTCTAACAAGACGGCGCCACAAACGACAATGTCACATTCCAAGTGTGTGAACGTATTGTCTCACGAAATGGCTCAGTCAATTGGCCTCCATCGTATGATTTGACGCCGGGAAATCGAGTTACATACATAATGGCAACGAATATACTTTCACACGAATTAAGAATTTCATTGATACCCCAAGCCGTTTTTATTTTATAAAAAAAAAAACTTCTTTTAGCGCACTTATTGAAAAACTTACTAACGTACTCTAAGCCAAGGGAAATAATCCAAAAACTTTTCATCAAATGTAGTCAACTGCATTTCTGCACTAAAAAGATTGTTCTGTTAAATTCCCAGACATTAAATCGCAGTTTCTAACAGAGAAAAAATTGCTCTCTAATTTTTCAGCTAAAGATCTTAGAGCGCTGCCAACGGAGTCTACCTCGCCCCCAGCGCTGACTTGGGCTACCACGAAGTTAACTCAGTCCATTCGTAGATGATGTACGGCTGCTATTAGCGTAAAAGCTACATAACCTTAAACTAACGAACAACAAAAGCTTCAAAAACAACAACTACTACAAAATAATGCACATAACTACATAAGACACAGTATTCAGCTACTGAAATGGCGCGTTAAGAAAAAAGTTACAACAACAAAGCCGAGCATATAAACCTACACACATACCAACATTTATTCAGAGATGAGCACATGTGATTGTAAATCTTATTGAAATGAATGTGCAGGAATGTATGAAGGAGTTGGTGTGTGTGCGTGTGCGTTAACAACATGTTGAATGCTAGCCAAACTACAGGTACTTCCATGGAGAATTATTTGTCATGGTTTATGAAAGCTCACATAATGGACGCAGCCAGCTGAGGGCAGATATTCTTTAAACACAAGCACACAAACGTGCATACAAATATTTGTGTCATAGTATGCATGTGTGTGTGTGTCGCGCAGAGCAGCTGCACATGTTTAGACGGCGCTAATAATCTCTCAAGTGTTGCGAAATGTTGTGGAGCACGCGCACCTTTGCACATGAAGGCTACATACATACATGTATATATGTAAGTGTTTATAGAAATCACACTTCTCACTATGCATTTTTACCGTTGCATGAGCATTTTTTCTTTCAAAACCTATGTTAAGATTCAAAGTCTATTTTTAGTCAACATCGAGTCAAAAGCATTCACCAAAACTAAATTCTGCGCGTGTGTGTGTGTGGGTGTGCCACGTTCACGGCAGCCAACTGGTTGTCTAATCACACAAATTACTGCATTTCACCCCCTGGTCTTTTCATGCACATTATAAGAAATGCACAGAAATAGACAACTTTATTAGAATACCTGTGGAGTTCTCTCAATGTATATAAGTTTGTATKCGTGTGTGTGTGTATTCACCGGCCTGCGCASAAACATATCCTTTCTTTATTAGCTCTCGCCTCGGCGAGGCGATTTTTTCATCCTGCAGCTGCATAAATAATGACCAAAGATATTGCAGCTGCGAACTTATGCCGCCAAAGCTGGTAATGCAGATTAATACCGAAAATTGCCATGCATTTGCAATACAACCGCAYGTGGCATCAACAGGAGCTTTAATATGAAAATATTTCCCCTGCTGAATCTCCCTTTATGTGGATGTGGGAGTAAGGATTTAAAAAAATTTTATCAGTACTTTGAAGGTGACAAAATAAATATTCATGGATAATTAAATATTTGGAATTTCCGGGCACCTTTTTATCACATCATGTACCTAATATGAATATTTTCGAAYTTCCGTGAGACTTTATAGYGCGTATATCAGAAAATATGTGAGTTATCTTAATACAATTAAGAGAGCACGCTTTTCTTTCAATGGTGAATCTTTGTGCTTAGAATGAATAAAATCAGATGAAATCTTTCTGGGGTCTAACTAACAAACCTTATGTAATTGAAAGTACTTCCCTGGTTATATACGAACTTAGCAATTCCTTACTTGTTATATACACTTGTATACATATTTTGCTTTCCAATAATTGTTACAGTTATTCTTTTAGTTCCCAAAAATCSTCTTTTTTAGACTGATCTCAAATTATGACTTCTTTTTTGGTTATATTTGCCTGCTTAAGAACTTTCAAAGTTAAGAAAATCCCAGAAGATTATTTTGTTCTGATCGATCTACTGAAATTTTCATCAGCAAATGAGAAGTGAGATAGAATTGTAGAAGTCTGCTGTTTTGGACTCTATTTTTCAAATATTTTCTAGAAAAATAAGTTTACTACCTGAAACCACATAAAAAAGTGCCACCACACCTTAAGGCGCAAAAATAATTTATGAACCAAAATGCAAAGGAAAAAAGAAAAAAAAAACCTAATAATAATGCATTAATAGAAATAAAAAGAAAATTTATAGATTGTGTATATTTATGGTAGCTGTTTTCATCGACTTTACAGTGCGAACAACTAACTTAACCTAACCAAATACCCGCAACATTTTAATAATGTTCCTGATTGAATAAGATCAGTTATACATATAATCAACATTTCCTGTCTATTCAATATTAAATATTATTTCTTTAAAGTCTATTTATATTTGCAAAACGCTGAGGTGTGTCACAACTTTTATACTTACAAACATATTTAAATATATTCAACTAACMTTAATAACCTACAATGTTTAGCAACAAACCCACCCTTACTTCCTTTCGAACCACTTTTATATATAAAAAATTTACAACTGGTCGCTGACCACAACTAGCCATAGAAAAAACGGTTATCTGCCGCGTTAAACGCCTACTTAACGRTGTCATTAACGATTATATTCGTGCATACATACATATCAACAGTTAATACCATGACTTAACATAACAAGCACTTTGAAGGATGTGCTCAACTTGTTGCCGATATGCTTAATGTGCTTCATCCATACATACTCACACACATGTATTTGTGTTAAAGGATCATAACCACATTTGTAAGTATGTATGTATATAATTGCTCCATTAACCTCACTCATTAATCCCACATTGACTTTTCATAGCCGACTAGAATTAGTTGGTCTTGTTGGACAACACTCTAAAARGTAATTAGGATTTTGAGATTTT